AAAAAAAAAAGAAAAAAAAGGGGGGGGGGGGGGGGTGTCTAGCTAAAAAAGGTATTAGAAAGTATCTTGTGGTCTCCCCTTTTAAGGTGGGGGGAGGGGGGATTTTACTCAGCTGACAGAGTTATTTTTAATTAATTCTCTAGGATATCTGGGTCTAGATCAATATTATATATTTTAAGGATAATAGCCATCTCTCATTGATCTCTTTACTTCTGTTATGTTCCTACCATCTTTACAGTTCACAATTTTTTTGCATGAAGCTTCCTTTATTTTCTCAAATCTCCCAATATGTGGGCAACACACACTTTGAATACTCTTGTGATAGACTGTTCAATCATTTTATCAGGTGTCTAAAATAATGTATTAATCCAACAAGAAAGATAAACCTGCTTGCATCACTCTGACCACCTTGTCAAGTTTTTGAGATAAAGTAAACAATGGTTAAAGTGACAGTTTCAGAATTTGTCTGCAAGAACACTGCACATGGGCAAACGGAAATGTGTTCTGTCGATCAACAAAATTCAACCAGTTGGTATTACTAACGAACAATTATCAAAATCAACATTGGTCTGAGCATCAGGCTGGGTTCACACCTGGGCGTTTTTCAGCGCTGAAAAACGCTCAAGCAGTGAAATCCTATTAACTCCTATGGGCATGGTTCCCCCCTGGGCGTATTTCAGCGCGTTTTGACACACTGAAAAACGCCCGAAATAGTACAGGAGCTTCTTTGGGGCGGACTTCAGCGCGTATTCCCGAGTGTGGCTCGGGGTAAACAAAGCGGTAACCCCGAGACACACTCGGGTATACAGCGTAGGTCTTACCTTGTCTGCGATCCCCGATGTGTCCTCTGGCCGCTGCCGTCTTCCGGGTTCCGTCCCTTGCGAGCGTCCGCTTTGCAGGGGGAGCGGAACCGGCGGGAAGTTTAAACGTTTAAAAAAACGGGGGAAAAAAATCATACCGTCAGGGAGGTTAAAAAACAAGCGTCGAACGCGCGTTTCATTGGAAAAAAACGTGCTAAAAACGAGCATAAAACGTGCCTATAGGAACGCCCAGGTGTGAACCCAGCCTCATGGGCAATTTGAGCTAGAATCGAATGAGGGTTCTTGGCAGCAAAGAAAATTCCCAATCTAAAATCTATTGGTGTATGGCCAGCTTTAGGTTTAATCCCACAAAATCTGTTGAAATTAAAATTAATTAGTGCTGAAAACTGTAATTGATCAGAATAATCAAACTATCTGGTGCATTTAGAGCTCTTTTGTCTGTACGTTTCTCTTGTGCCCTTTAAGTAGTTTGCAATACATATTTAGGTACGTCTTCTTATCTATTCTTGTTGAAATAGGGAGAATACTGTATGTCCAACTGGGCGCAGGGCTCCAGGGAATAAGAATAAGGAAAAATACCTGAATGAGTGGGACTTTAAAGCAGACCTTTCATGAAAATAAAATGTCCAATTTACTCACAGGCCCCAACCCCCTAAATACAAACTGCTTTTAAAAAGCCAAATAATAAAAACGTTGGTAAAAAAAAAAAGCCTCCAACTCTTCCGGGAAGGCACGGGCAATGTTAACATGCCTCCCAGGAGAGCTAGGTGCTTGAAAACTCAAAAAAAGTGTACTTCAGCCAACTGCAGACAGGTCTTATTTTTCAGTGGCCATTTTAAGCTATTTGTATTTAAAGGGTTGAGCGACTGCTAGTAAAGCAGACCTTCTATTTTCATGGACTTTCCGTTTTAAATATGACCTGCACTGTGGAAGCTGTTTCTGTAAAATGGCAAGCAGAGGGCAAAGAACTAGTCACCAGTAATGTGTAAAGGCTCCCTGCAGGTGATCCTTTTCCCATTGCTGACTTACCATTACTTTTTCTGTACTGTATCTCTGTGTGGAGGCGGCCAGTTTGCTAGGAAAGCAGGATTTTGAGGATTTTCCTCAGAGTCGCCCGTTTGAAAACCAATAATGTTATAATCAAGAAGCAGCAGGAGAGGTTCAGAAAGCACAGATTCACAGAATAAATGAAGTAGAAGCAGGAAGATTCCTGCAATGAAAATCCTCAGGAACAGCTTCCTTTCCAGCAAGGAGAACAGTGGGCAGCTCAGTAGTCACATCCCCACATTTCACTGCAAATCTCGCGAGATTAGCAGTCAGAGGCATATAGACGTACTGTATATATCTTAAAAAATTAAAAACAGTTGATTAAAAAAAGTTGTATGGCCAGGTCAGTAACTTGTTTAGAACTTAAAATGTTAAGTTACCAATGTAATATTTTGGAATACAATTGATCTTTTGTGATTTACTATTAAACTGTCTATGTAGGTCTAGCTAAACAATCATGTGTGCCATGATCTGAAGAATGATTGTCAGCCAGATCTAAAGCATTAGGTGTATCTGTGCTCCCCTCCATGGTCTGGTACCATTCTTTGGCCTTCCCTTCATTGTAATATCCCTGTGGCGAAACAGACCAGCCAGTGGATGTTCCAGTATCTCTTCCAAATCAAGTCTGGTTTAACACAATTTTGGGTTCATTGTAGAAACAGTACAAGGCAGCAGGGTGTGCAGAAGGTGGTAACCTAGAAATTTTAGTTTAATGGAGTCAGCTAGCACGGGATTCCGTTTGCTATGAGTTACTTCACCTTGCTTATCATTGTTATTTGGCGTCGCCTTATTGCTTCTCTCTAACACAGAGCAGAAATCTAGTAAGCATTATATGGTTGTGCACTATTCCGCATTCATTGAATAGACACTCATTTGCCAGTATAAACAAAATAAAAACAAAGCCTTTCAAAATCATAACAAGCATTTATTTTAATATGATACACAAGTCAACACCTGTACAAAAACAGTGAAATGCCTCACTTTCTCTTAGGGCAGGGGTCTCAAACTCAATTTAGTCGGGGGCCACTGGACAAATTTTTTAGTCCCGTGGGTTCCGCTACTATATACGGTACCAGTTTTAATGTATGCATGTTACAAGCGGCAACTATCACCGTCAAATTAATGATCGAGTGATAGCTGCTGCATGTAAACGCCTGCACACTGCATGTAATCATATGTGAAAGGATTACATGCAGTTAGGAATCAATCACTATCCCTGGATACACAATTGAGTATCCAGGCATAGTGATTGTTTTTGTAACTGCATGTAATCATATCACATACGATTACATGCGGTATGCAGGGATTCCTGTGCAAGAAAATTCCCTCCCAAGCCCCCAGAACACATATAATACACTCCCCCCCCTCCCAAGCCCCTCACCTGCTTGCATCTGTGCAGGGAGGAGGCACATCATCGTTCCAGAGCTAACAGGAGCAGCTCTGCGGTCGGACAGAGATGCAGACCGTGTAGCTGCTCCCGCAAGTCGGACACGCGGGACCGTGTGCCTGACTTATCAGCTGGCTGCGGGCCACATAGTACCGGCTTGCGGGCCGGTACTTTGAGACCCGTCTTAGGGTCTACGATGATCATAAGAAATCAAAGAAAACGAACTTTCAGTACAAAAAAAGAACAAAGCAGAAGGTTCATAAAGTTGAAGTATGGGCCCCCACAATTACTATAACTTATTAAAGATCCAGTCCCTGCTAAAAAAAAAAAAATCTATGCACATAAAGAATTGCTGCATAAGGTTGACACTCCCATGATGCACTGTGGTCACAATTGCTTTTTAAGTCAGCTTAGAACTGTTTATTGGGCAGCGGACTGTGCTGCCTGTCTGGCCTCATACTCCTTCTTAGCCTTCTCTCTTAGCTCTTTCTCTCTTGCAATCAACTCCGCCTCATCATTTTGCCATTCCTTCAGTTTGGCCTCATATTTTTCAATGTCTGACTTCTCACATTCAGGAAGCTTTTCCAGGACTAAATGTGTGGTAAGGTTCAGTAGGTCAGTAGTCTCAATTTTATCAAGAGATTCAAGTTTTCCAAGCAAATCCTGGTGGAAAGATTGGAGAACATGACAAATTAAACACAGCTGAAAGTAAGAACAACATTACATAATAATTTATACTTCTTTACATAGAAATAAGATGAAAGCACGGCTTTTTACATAACAAAAAACTCTACTACTACGTTTATGGCCTAAGAAGATTATTGCAATTGACACACAAGAAGTGATGCAATATGCGTCGCTTCCGATCCCATAGAACGGGGAGGGGGTCGGTGAACGGACGTTTGCCACTCTCCTCCCCAGCTTCCGCCGAAACCCGAGATGGCGGTCCTGGGCCCGCAGGAGGGGCACTGGAGCCCAGGAAACACGGCAGGGGTGTCGGCAGTTTACCAGCCCGTAGAAGGGATCTGGCGACAGCTGAGTCGCCAGAATCGCTGCGACTGTAAAGCCAACAGTCTGTTTATACAGGCCCGCTGCCAGTGACGTACTATATACATCACTGGTCACTAAGGGGTTAAACGGCTTACTATTGCAGAAGAGACGTATGATGAGGGGGATTTGCTAAGACTGGAGCAGACAATCTGGAGCAGCTGTGCATGGCAACCAATCAGCGTCTAGCTTTCATTTTCAAAGCTTAACCACACAAGCTAAAGCTAGGCGCTGATTGGTTACTCTGCACAGCGGCTGCAGGTTCCATCTGCTCCAGTTTTAGTAAACTCTCCTCTATGTCTCTTCTGTAATAAATGCTTCTTACCTGCCTGCTAGTAAACGTCTTTAGAATGGACACTGGACTGTGCGTGTATCTCAATGTGCCTTTTTACTTACTCTGGGGAATTATGATTAATAATTCATTCTTAGCTGAAAATTCATTAGGATTTTAAAAAGCTACGCGAAAAATACATGATGCTACTGGAGTATGCATTTGGTATAACACACTACAGTAGGAGTCTGTTCAGCTATAGGAACTGGTGATATGGTGTATAATGTGCTAAATATGCCATTAAAGGTCAGTCCACCCAAAACTGGCATTCCAGATATAGGTGGACCCAGGTGGGCTCATTCACTCATTTTCTTCTTAAGCCTTAGCAATTTTGCTGTAGCAAAGGGTATATCACTCACTGCTGCAGTCTCCAAAAGTTAAAATCCAACATAGATTAGTATGGCTATGACTGCTGGGCAGAGCTGACAACCCACCTCAGGTGTTCTCAACAATTTAGTAAGTAATTGCACATCTACTAAACACTGACATATCACTGTATTAACCAACTATCAATATCAGAACCACAGCATATTATTTTGTAGTAATCAATCATATATTTCCTTTAATATTTTGTCTTGTCCAAGATCTATGAAACCTAATAGCCGATCAAATTCCATGTGATTGGCATTATCATCAATAATGGAGGCTTGTTCAGCAATGTTCTATAAACGCTTATGTGCATTATCGTCCATTACGGATCTTGTTCTTGTTCAGTGCTGCCCATGTACTGTAAAGGCGGACATTTTGCAGCCTCAGGAGCAATATCTGCAGCAGAGATGGCAACGACTACAGCCAGTTAAGTATTTTTAATGAAGCCACAAACAATTGCCTTTTGAGAAAAAGGCAGCAGAGGCACTGACCACAAAACATATTGCTTCATTGTTATTCTTACTATCTGAGCCATCCAACAAACAGCTTAGCAGTAGAAACAAATGTATTGTCATAGGGAGTCCGAAACCGCGACAAGCCCCACACTGTATCTGTGTGTTGTTAAACACAGTTAAATGAGAAGCACACGACAAATCAGGACTCAAATTGCCAGTAAATGGATTATAATAGTAGGTTGTGTGTATCAGTATTTATTTTTACGACCAGCAAAAAAACAAAACAAGATATCAATGTTGAATGGTTTGTAATGGCTGGCTATAATCTGGGACCAGGAGAATACTTAAAGCCCAACTGCACATTCTGTATTTATTAGTAATAGAGTCAGGCTGCATATACAGTTATAAATGTGCTCCTCTTTGAGGTTTTTGTACTTGCTATGTGCTGCAGCAAGGGTTACAATACCCTGTACTGGCAGGACATTAGACCACTGCTGGAGCAGTTTCTGTCTTACATACTCTGTCCGCCCTTCTGCTGCCGATCCTTTCCTGGTATCTGGTTTGTATCTCCTGTCTGTTGAAGCTCACCGATCAGCCATAACATTATGACCACCTGCCTAATATTGGACACGCCCAGAATGGGTACCCTGACTGGTCTGTGGCTACGCAGCCCCATATGCAACAAACTGTGATGCACTGTGGGTTCAGACACCTTTCTATCGGAACCAGCATTAACATTTTCAGCAATCTGAGCAACAGTATTGGAGCGGACTACACAGGCCAGCCTTCACTACCCTCGTGCATCAATGAGCATTGGCTGCCCATGACCCTGTCGCCGGTTCACTGGGTTTCTTTCCTTGGGCCACTTTTGGTTGGTCCTGACCACTGCAGACCAGGAACATCCCACAAGAGCTGCAGTTTTGGAGTTTCTCTGACCCCGTCGTCTCGCCATCACAATTTGACTCTTGTCAAAGTTGCTCAAATCCTTACAATTGCCCATTTTTTTCTGCTTCCAACACACCAGCTTCAGGGAAAAAAATGTTCACTTGCTGCCTAATATATCACACCCACTACCAGGTGCCATTGTAATGGGATAATTAATGTTATTAACTTCACCTCTCAGTGGTCATGTTATGGCTGATCGGTGTATGCACTCACTGCCGGTAACTGTTAAAGCACGTTGCAGGAGGGCTTTGCCTGTACCACACAAATACATCTCTGGTCATCAGTATCGCTAAGTCCTCAGGTCTTTGTTGCATTATTTTAAGCCCTGAGGAAGGAGGAGGTTTTGTCCCTGTAGCACTTTGGCTGTTCTGTTGACTTGATTGATTTGTGCATAATAAACAGTTTTTCAATGACACCTGTTTGGTTTGGCGCCTGGTTCTGTTTGTCTATTTCTGAAGTATACATGCTGACTGCCCTTCTGCTACCAATTTCTACCTAGGTATCTGTTTTATGTTTTCTGTCTGCCACATTGTATAGGATTTATTACCTCCTCTTATGGATCTTTACTGGGCATCTGTTTTATTCCTCCTGGCAGTCAAATTTCTTGCCAAAAATAGGTAGTATAATTTAGGTTTCCTAATCATCAAGGTAGATTGTTACAAGCTTCTCCTTTTTTAAGATTCTAGATCTCTACCTCTCCATGGTTGCTTACCCCTGTTCTAATCTTCAGTAAAATGCTTGATATGAGAAATGGGGTGTCATTTGAAATATGCTGAGCTCCACTGCCGTCATTATTTAGTACAGAGATGCTCTAACAATTTTCTTATGTGAGCTCACATTGTGAATTGCGCTAACAGAAGACCGTTTTCAAGGCTGAGAGATGGATCTGCAGTGACATACTAGTTCAGCTAAAAGGGTCTCTGAATTGTTGGAAAGAAAGGATCCCTGTAGACAATAAAATGTCGGATGCGTAACCTTGACTAAGATTCCTTCAGAGCAATTTCCTGCTAAAGATGATTTAAATATAATTCAGATGTGTTTTGCGCAGTTGCAGAAGCAGTGAAGCGGAAAGAATAAAATGTCAGCAGGCTATGAATGAAAATGACTTATTTACATATTAAAGACTCCACTATTCAATTTCATTTTACCTGAAATCTAGCAAGAAATTCCAGCAGCATATCTGCTTCCGTCTTCTCAGAGTCCTCGGGGTGCATTGAAGTGTCTTCTGAAACTTCAGCATTTTCCGCTGGTACTTTTTCCCTCTCACTCAAAATGGCCGAATCCAACGCCGATTTTAAAATGTCAATCTGCAGAAACAACATATCAAACACTGCTTGAATATGTAATCCCCATCTTATTTTTTTTTTTTTTTTAAATTACGTGATCCATTCTACTTTGAAATCAATATAAATGTGAGAAACAATATACATAATCAAAGTTCAGGTGCCACGAAATCTTACACTTCTTAGTGTTATTGAAACTGCAATGTATAGTCATTGGCACACATGCCTTTCAAGTGAACTGTAGTAAAGCTCCCTATGTATGCAGTGATATATCATACTCTTTGGACTCTTAGCTACATATGGCCATTTGCACATGCAGAATTGTTGGAGAATTTTTGTTGCATGAAGGGAAATTGTGTTCAAAAAAGGTATACAGAAACTCAATAAGTGAGCATTCTCTGTACCAGTAGATAAGCATCAAGATCAGCGGCTGCCAGCTTGTTAGATAAAAGGGGCTTCGACTGCAGCTCCTGAGATCCCCAGGGGGCTGTACATTATATTCGGTTTATGTTACTCTATAAAACATTGTGAGAGACTGCTGACATACTGCAAGAGATAGTTGAAGAATAAAGGCATGCTACAGGTGTGGTTACAGATGGTCTCTCGCAACATATCTCCAAAGGCAGGGACATTTTTCTAAATAACATGTTTGTGCCGTTACAACTGCTTTAATGTATTATTATATTTCAAAGTTATATTTATGTAGTATATTTTGCCAAAAACTATTACAACAGTTATGTCTCAGTCACAGTTATGTCTCCGTTATGTCTCTACCATTACATCGGGAATGCTCAATAAGCATAATAGTGTATTGTGCCTCCATCATAGCGAACAATTGCTATATAAAAAGTGTAAATTAAATCTTATATCCACTTAACTATAGCTGCCATTACAAAACCAATTAGGGGTAGCTTTTATTAATTTCTTTGTAAATGTTTACTGGGCCAAGCTTGTGCCCGTGATGGACTTTATCTTCAATACAAATTAGTAAACTAAATGTGACATTATAGTCCATCACAGGAGCGAGCTTGGAGCTGTGGCTACTTTAAAACACACACAGGGACCATGGGGGACAAAAGTAGCCCCCCTCCAGAGGAAAGGACAGTGTCAGCACTAATTCAGAGATGATTTGAGGATCTACAGCTGCGTGATACACAAATAAGATACATTTATATTAATACTAAGAGTAATTGCAGGCATTTTTAAGAATTCCTGAGTTCAGTGTCACTTAAGGAATATTATAAAGGCAATTTGCTTGCTGCGGTGGTGATATCGTTTTAGAATAGCAGAGGACTGTTGATGTTGCCAAGAACCCATAAAAGGTTGCTATGCCTGCATTTATCTGCATGTCAACTAGCAAATACAGTATGCACTTTGCCTCATACGATCATTTGCTATAAAAGTCAATAAACCAAACATGAAAACATTATGTCATGTCCTTTCATAGATAAACAGCAAATCGTGCAACCTTGAAGGCTGCCAATAGAAATATCAGAACTCGGTGACTGCAGGTACAATGTGCTCTGAATACAGCAATTCTATGGTTACAAAAGAAAGCAGAACACACAAGGCCTTGGGCCAAGCGAAAACTGAATTCTGCTAGCAATCTTCAGTGAGGATTTAATTGGGAAGTCCTGGCAGACACACAACATTATTTGGCTATGTAGATGAAAGTGTTAGGGCGGGTTTTGCTGCATGTTGGCACAATCTGCGCTTTCATTCACTTGCTCATTAAGGAAATAATCTGACAGGAATATAATTAAACAAAACCCAGCATGATCTCCAAAACATGCCAGGCTCCCTTTTACAGGAAACCACTAACATTTCATGAAGATATATCATCCTGTAAGCAACAAACTGGTAAAGTGCACCTGTGGTTTTCTTAAAGATATTAAACTACCTTTAGGATTGGCTACCAGGTACCTCCTGTTACCTGTAAGCACATTTAAGTTCCTTCCTCGACTCACTGGGAGCCACAGTGTTTGATAATGAAAACTGCAATTAAAGCCTGCATGGTCATTGTAGCCCTCCAGTCTTACTGCCAGAGACTTCCTATTGGCCAGTAAATACACTCATCACATTTGCAACCAATAGTAGGATATACATGATGTTAATATATATTTTTTTTAAAATCAGAAAAACCCTGTTTTTTTTTTATCTGCGTTCTATCTGCATTTAAATCCTTCAGTGAAGCAAATGCTTCAAATTGATTCGTCTTCTAGTCTCCCCTTTCTCCCTCTGTTATCTTACATGCTAAAGGTTTAACAAGAGTCCTTAATGTTTCTGTTTTACCCGGTTATAGTGTTTCATAAACTGGTAGGTACGTGAATTTTGGAACAAAGGGGTCTACAATGGATGGACCTTGGTCTTTATTCAACCTTACATGCTATGTCACTATGTATATAACTGTTTCCCAGCCATACCAACAAAAATGGTTACTATGACTGATTAGGTCAACAGTTATTTGTACTCAAGATATTATTGATTTCTAACCAGTAGAGCTTAAAAATATTTATAGCACTTACTAAGAAATTATAAACTAGTTTTGAGAGTCTGTAGGGCCAATTCTGTAAACTCAGAGCCTTAGTTATCCATCCATTCTTACAAAAGCTGTCGTCTTAATTATTGTAAATAAGAAAAAGCATACCAGGGTCTGTAGATAAATGCTAGTGTTTCTTTGCAGGACCAATTTGTGGATGTACACATTCCAGAATGTTGGGACTAAAGTAAATCTTACAGCTACATTGCCTTTCTCTGTGGATACAAAGCTTAAGATTGTTTTGTACATTGAATGCCCAATGACTGCAAATAATTATTTTGTAAACTACTTTCCAGTTTCCATGGTGATCACAAGGTGGGCATATGTTCCTGCTGTTCTAAGTATTGACCAAGCAGCAAAATTGCTGGACATAATCGTGAGGATGCCATCTTTCAAGTCTCTATACATGCATGCACATGAGGTGGTAAAAAATACAGTATGTAAATTGGCTAATAGCTATAATTGATAAGAATCCTTTTTCATAGCCTTAGAGCCCAATTAAATCTTTAGTTTAAATCAAATACATTCAGTGTGCATAAAAATAAAAGGTGTTCAATTCCTTACAGTTTATTTTCTTTCTAAAGCAGTCACAGCCTGAGTAAAAAAGTTTATGCCCTGCCACCATGCTGCAGAATGGGAGCCTTGCTCTGTGTGGGGAAGCAGTAATCTCTTTGCAGAGTCCGACACTCTGCTGCTGAGTCACAGCCAGTGCTCTCCCATCTTGCAGGGAGCCCAAGCTTTGCCGACTGCAGAGCTATAAGCTCTGACTTAGTAGGGGCACCACCTCAGCCGAGACCACTTCTTCCCCAGAGAGAGCAAGAGTCCCACTCTGCAGCTACTGGCAGGGGAAAGGTTCTTCTACTCAGGTTGTGGCTGCTTTAAAAAAACAAACTGTGAGGTACTGAAGACCTATTCGTTTGCTAGACCTAGAATGTATTTAACCAATCTAAACTAGTTCTGTAAGGCAGAATAAAATAAGACACTAGGACACAACACTTGTTCAGTTCTAGGACAATAGTTCAGCTTGGAGAATCTCTACTGCAATCTCTGAAAGGAAAGTATTCTAAAATGCAGGGACACCTGTAAAGCTATACTAGACACAAATGTGAAGAAAGCAGAGAATTCAATACATCACAGTGATGTAAAGCAATAACAGTTCATTGGAATAAACAACACTGGCACTGTATTCAGAACTCATTTATCACAATCTAACACCAGCATGTCAGTGTTTGTGTCTTGCAGCATCTCGAGTACGTGCCCATCTGTACGGTGATTCTTTCCACAAAAGTTGGCAGTGCACCAATGACCTCAAGTAAGATCCTGTCACATCTTACAATTTATTAGTAACAAAACAAGGAGAACTGGAAAATTACTTATCAAAATAAATATAAAAATAGGATTTTTGACCTACAGTAAAATTATTTTCTTTAGTACACTAAGAAACACGGGATAAAGTAATTCTGGCACACTGAATTATACTGCTGCCTTAAAGGAGACTGGACCATGCAAACAAAGCTGTAAGAGCCTATTATAACCCTTCCCACTTCTGGGACCCTTAATGTACTCGTACATTAAGGGACACAGGAAAAAAGCAGTCTGACTGAGGGGTGGCCAACACAGCAAATAAAACGCTAACAGGCCCACACAAACTAAAAAGGTTAACAAAGAGGGCTCAACAGAGTTTACAGACTGAAGAACCTTATGACTGAAGCTGGCACCAGAAGATGATTAGTAAAATTTAACAAACATATGAAAAGAAGCCTTGCAAATCCAAGAAAGAGTGCTTCATGGGCCTTTTAGCATGAGGCATCTAATGGAACTAGTGGAGTGTGCCTTGACAGGGAAAAGTGGAACCTTTTCTTAAGCCTATAGGCGTGAATGATAAGCTGCCAAACCCACCTGGAGATAATGGAACGAGAAGCAGGCTGTTACTTACATGACCCTAAGGCTTGACAGAGTCAGACTGTCTAAAGACAGACTTAAACAGAGTATACCACATCAATACTTTGGAAGGAAATCTTCTTGGGATGTCATGGGCCAGAACATAGAGATGGGAGAACAATGCCCTGGCTAAGGTTAAAATAAGAAACCACCTTGGGAAGAAAGGAGTGTCATTGGATCTCAATATTGTGAGCAAAACCCTGCACAAAGGGATTCACTATGCCAAGAATTAAAGACCAAGTCCAGACTGGAATGGAGAGAAAAAACAGGATTTGTCCCATGTAACACTTTTAGAAATGGAATTTCCCTGCATGAGAAATATGCTCTCCAGGTATTAGGGTAGACTTTGCACGAAATTGATTTCCTAGGGAATTGCAGGGATAACTTAATCAGGCTGACCCCTATTCTTCAGGATCCGGGCTTCTACATCCAGACTTCAGGTTCCTCCCTGATCATTGATGTAAGCCCCTGCTGTGGCATTGTGCAACTGAATTCTGATCAGACCTCAAAGTCGAGAGGTCCAGTGTAGGGATAACCGAAACAC